GGATTCGTGCAATCGTCTTGTGGATCCCACCATGGCCAGCGGAAGGTGAGCTGTGAGAGGCCTCCATTAAACCCTGTCGCAGCACCGACGGCACCCAAAGTTTCCAGGTCTGGTCCTCTTGAAGCTGGTCCTCCCTGTTAAATTGAGTACGTCTATATACATAGCCATCTGATACGCAGCAGTCTGGTAGTTGATCCTTGTTCTCGGTCACAGTCCTTTTCAGTTCGTTGTATTCATCTGAGTCAAAATAAGGCGAGTCTAAGCAAATATCCATGAATCTTTCATTTGTTGTGATTTCTTCCATGTGCATCCGTGATAGCATGTCAGGCACGATATTTTGGGCACCCTTCCTGTGCTGAATATCAAAATCATAACCTTGTAGCTTCAAACTCCATATTGCCAGCCTGCCCGAAAGGTCTCTCTGATTCATCAGCCATTTTAGGCTGGCGTGATCAGTGATGATGGTAAACGGCATACCTTCTATATACGGTCTGAACCTCTTCACGCTAATCACGGCTGCGTAAAACTCAAGTTCGGTTATACTGTAGTTTCGTTGTGCTTTATTGAGTTTAGCTGAAATATAGGCTATTGGTCGTTCGTTGTTCTGGTCGTCAAGTTGAAATAAAACCCCACCCACTCCGTCTGTCGAGGCGTCGCACTGTACATAAAACCTTCGATTAAGGTCAGGATGCGTCAGTACGGGTGCCGATATGAGGCTTTGCTTCAATCGGTCAAACGAATTCTTGGCTTCGTCCGTCATGGTAAATTTTTTAATCTTTTCTTTAGTGAGACAGTCGTGCAGCGGAGCTGCAATGGTCGCGTACTCTTGGATAAATCTACGGTACCAGCCTGACATACCTAGGAACCGTCGAAGCTGCTTTGGAGTTTTGGGCTCCGGGAAATCCCTCACAGCTGCAACCTTGTTTGCATCCTCCTTTCACATAACCAAGGTAACGAACCTCTTTATAACAAAATTTACTTTTCTCCACATTAATGGTTAATTTTGATTCTCGTAAACATCGAGCGACCTTTTCCAACAAACACAGATGGGACGAAAAATCTACGGAACACACCAACAAGTCATCTAAATACACAAAAATACTTTCACGCAACGAAGCCGGTATCACTTTGTCCATGACTCTGCACATTCTTTGTGCTGCATTACACAGTCCGAAAGGCATGACAGTAAATTGGTAAAGAGGTCTGCCTGGAACTGTGAACGCCGTCTTCTCTCTAGACTTCTTTTCAAGGGAAAGAAAGCATCTTTTAGATCTATTGCTGATATTTAGCGAGTGTTTTGAAGTCGACTAGGGATCCCATCTACGTGTGGCAGTGGGTATGCGTCCTTTACCGTTCTCTCGTTTACCTTTCTGGCGTCGAGGAAAAGACGATTTTTCGTACCTTTTATGGCTAGAGAAACGGGTGAGTTCCAGCTACTATTGCTTTCCTCTATAACCCCCATACTGATCATCCTATCTAGTTCTTGGTATATTAATTTTTGGATCGCAGGCGAAATTGGGTAGTGGCGCTGCTTTATGGGAAGGTTTTCATTCTGTACCTCTATGATGTGCTCTTCCATATCGGTTTTGCCTAATCCTAAGACTGCAAAGGAAGGGAACTGTGCTTTGACCCTTTCTAGTGCTGCACTTTCTTCAGGCGACAACATATGTTGGATGGCATCAAAAGACTGGTCTCCTTCGGCAGGTGCAAGCTCTGCAATGGCAGTTTGGACTGGACGCGAGGGTGTTTTCCTACTAACGACAGACATGTCGAAGGCCTTCCAAAAATCGATTCCTAAATATACCTGTTGTTGTAAGCCTGGTACTATAAGGAACTCTAAATCTCTCGAAATACCATCCCATATCAGTGGGAGTGTGATTACACCGATTACTGAAGTTTCTCCGCCATTCGCTGTTCGTATGCTTTGATTTCTTATCGGGAGGATACGGTCTGCTTTGCCTTCTAACAATTTGTGTACATCTTTGCCTAAACAACTTGCCCCTGCACCAGAGTCTAGAAGGGCTAACACATCCACCCCACCAATATTTGCCTGGGCGAAAAATCGATTGTCTCCCTTTACTGTCACTATAGTTGATATAATTTTATTCAAAATTCTTTTATATGTCCTTTTCTTCTCTCTTAATTTTTCTATCTTTTTAAACTTCCTACTTTTTCTTTTATTATCAATGGATTCACAAAAGATTTTCCTGCGGGCTGCCTCGTAATCTAGCTTGCGTTGGTGCAAGCTTTTCTTTTCTTCAAACTTTACCAAGGTTTCTCTCTTTTCAGTGCCAAGATCATTGTTTCTTCTTAGCAATTTGATTGCT